GTCGCTAAGTAGGTAGGTCAGCCAGCGTAACTCCTGTGCAGCCATGACCCCCGCGTAGGTCTCAGCCTCACAACTGGAGCTAAGAACAGAAGACGAGCGGGTAGACCTCCAGGAAACTAAACCGGAGCCAAGGCTGGAGGTGTAACCCTGTGAGTCGCCTGGTCGCCCGCCCAAGAAGCGTCTAAGTGTCCAGTGAGGACAACTGGACCCTGTCCTCCAAGCACAAGCCCCATGCCTGATGTACTGCACAAGTAGCGCAGTGCCCTTTGAGCAGCTGTCCAGTGCTCCTTCCGGTGCCTCCCAGGCGCAACAAAGCGAGCAAGGACGCTGAGAGGGTACGCGAGGTCAGGTCGTGTGCACGTCATCAGGTACATGAGGCAGCCTACAAGCTCTGGATACTTACCACTCGGCTCTACGGACTCGTCCAAAGGTGGAGCTGAGAGCGAGTGGTTCGTGAGCAGAGGAGTGGCCTGTGGCGAGGAGAACTGAAAGCCGAAGCGCTGAAGGACCTGGTGCACCATGTGTGACTGAGTCAGAGTGATGGTGCACCGTGCTCTGTCCCGAGTGATCTGCAAGCCAAGATAGCTGCGCAGCTCACCCAGGTCAGTGCAAGTGTGTCTCTTCTGCAGCTCCGCCTTCACAAGGGCCAGTGCCTCAGTGTCAGCAGTAGCAAAAACCAAGGGCCAGTGTCAGCAGTAGCAAAAACCAAGTCGTCGACATACACGAGGATGTAGAACGGCGGCAGCGAAGTGTCAGTGCGCAGAAACAGCGACGGGTCAGAAGTCGAATGAGCAAACCCAAGAGCCGCAAGTGTCGTCCTCAGTGTGTCGTGCCATTCGCGGGGCGCGTGGCGGAGACCGTAGACTGGCCGTTGGAGGCTCCACTTCGTACCCTCAGTAAACGACCCAGTGAAGCCAGGTGGGCAGCGTAACGAGATTTCCTCATGTAGGCTGCCCTGCAAGAAAGCTGTGGTGAAGTCAAATGAGTGGAGCTCGTAGTCGCGCTCTGCTGCAATGTGCAGTAACACCCAATGAGTGGGACAGAGGAAGGACGAAGTGCCATAATGTGAGTGCTGAGGGACTAGCAGTACGAGCACAGTAAGACTCAGGGCCAGGAACGCCAGGAAGTGAGGACGCAAGAGGATACGGCATGGGGACACGCTAAGGAACAGAGGAAGGACGAAGTGCCATAATGTGAGTGCCGAGGGACTAGCAGTACGAGCACAGTCAGACTCAGGGCCAGGAACGCCAGGAAGTGAGGACGCAGGAGGATACGGCATGGGGACACGCTAAGGAACAGAGGAAGGATGCAGGAGGACGCGGACGAGGAACACGACGACCTTGCAATGCAAACAGCGCGAACAGGCGATGCAGGACGAGACGCAGGCTCACGACGCTCTGTAAGAGAGTCTGTCTGCTCAGTGTAAGGAGAAGGAGTAGGCTGCAAGGAGTCTGGCTATAACTGTGGCTGCGACTGGTCAGGTGGTGGACACAGGAAGGGAGAAGTAAGGTTAGTAGAAGATGGAAGACTAAGAACATGTCGATGCACCGAACTCGGTGGTGGTAGAGACGACGATGACTGCGGAACGGAAAACAGTCGCCGCTATGCAGTACCCCCAGCACCAGTAGCTCCCGAACCCCTGGCTCCAGTGCCTCCAGCACCAGTACCAATAGCTCCAACGACTCCAGCACCAGTATCTCCAGCTCCAGCAGCTCCAGCGCCTCCAGCAGCTCCAGCGCCTCCCGCAGCAACACCTCCAGCACCAGTAGCTCCAAGACCTCCAGCTCCAGCGTCTCCGGCACCAGTACCTCCAGCTCCAACAGCTCTAGAACCTACAGCTCCAGCGCCAGAAGCACTAGTGCCTCTAGCACCGGCACCTCCAGCACCAGTGCCTCTAGCACCAGCACCCCGAGCGCCAGAACGCGAGCGGCACCGCCGAAGATACCACTCACGAAGCTGCTGTGGTGAGAGAGTCTCCTATCAACTAGACTTCCGCTGCCATCCGTCCTCAGAGTCACGAGCAGGGGTACCAGCGACCTCACCGCCACCAGGACGCTCAGCACCCCCAAAACCAGCACCCCCAGACTCAGCACCCCTAGAACCAGTACCGCCAAAGGCGTCCCCGGAGTGTCCGCACCCTCAGGGTCACCATCGGCAGCAGCACTAGGGCAACAGCGACAGGCTGCAAAGGCGACGGAGACGGTCGAGGCGGGAAAACCGGAGGGGCCTCCAAGCGAGGTGAGGGTGAGCGGTCGCTGTGTCGTCACGAGCAACGTCGCCCCCTTTAGGTTGGCCAGAGGTGTCAAAGGTGACCTCCAAAGGATCAACCAAGAGGGGGTGGGTCCACCTAAGGCACACCTCAGGGAGCAGGACCTTGAGGGGAGAGGGGGTCTACCGGGGGAGGACCTGGAGCGAGGAAGAGCGGCGGGGGGGGGGGGGGGGGGGAGGGGGGGGGAGCGGGGAAGTGCGGAAAGGAAAGAGACGGTAGAAGGAAACCGACTCGTCGAAGGTGACGTCCTGAGAGGACAGGACTTGGCACGAGGCTGGGTGGTAAAACTGCCAGCCAAGCATGTCTGTGGGAAAGCCAAGAAAGACGCAGGGAATGGCGAGAGAAGAGAGCTTGTCCGCGGAAGTATCGCAAACAAGGGCATGCAAATCCCAGACCCGAAACGCTGACGCATCGCCAACCTCCCCCGTCCAATGCAATGTCGGAGAGGTATCCGGAACGGAGACACGGGGCCAGAGGTTGAGCTGATGTGCGGTGTATCGGACCGCAATCAGCCACAGAAAATGGGGAGGAGCCGCATGGATCATGGAGGTGCGAGCAACATCCATGACCAAGCCAATGCGGCGCTCAGCGATCCCATTTAGCTGCGGGGAGGCCGGAAGCGTGAACGACTGGGCGATGCCCTCCCCACTACAAAAGGCCTCAAGGAGACGGGAGGGGAACTCACCGCCTCTGTAAGAGTGCAGACCAAACGCCCAGGGAGTCACGTACCAGCAGCAAGCACGCGTGGTGGCCCTCTGCTCGTCGCCCCGCCAGCACGCCCCTGATGCACCCATATGCCCATGTGTACATGCCCTCCCATGTCCCATGTCCGGCCAGGAATGTCCCATGTCTCATATCCCATGTCCCACACACTCTCCCATGTCCCAATCCACATGCTCCGCGAACAGCAAGCACGCGTGGTGGCCCTCTGCTCGTCGCCCCACCATTACGCCCCTGATGCGCCCATATGCCCATGTGTACATGCCATCCCACAAATGTCCCATGTTAGGGCAGGAACGGGTAGAGGCACCCTCACGTACCAATGTGGTAGATGGTGATCGGCTCCGTCTTAATGCTATCCAGCAGCTCCAGCTTGTACGGTTCGTTGATCTCCCTGATGCACCCATATGCCCATCAAACCACGTGTACATGGGAACACGTCCATATCCCATTGTAAGGCTAGGCTAGAGAGCTCGACGTACCGATGTGGTAGATGATGATGGGCTCTGTCTTGATGCTATCCAGCAGCTCCAGCTTGTACGATGCGGTCGAAGAAGAGGTGAGCACTTGCTTCAGCAGTAGCCGTGGCGTTGGTCGGGATGAAGTGTCCCATTTTAGAGAACTTATCGATCACCACGAGTATAGCGTCATGCCCTCGTGAGGTCGAAGAAAGCCCAGTAATGAAGTCTAGGCTGACAACTTGCCATGGCTGCTCCGGTACGGGTAGAGGCTGCAGTAACCCTGCTTTTTTCTGCTTGCTACTCTTCATCCGCTGGCACGTGTCGCAAGAGGTGACGAACTGCTGCACGTCTGCTGCCATCCCGGGCCAGTAGTAATACTTTGCTATTCCCGCTAACGTCTTGTTGCTCCCGAAATGTCCCGCGTATGCCACGTCGTGAAATTCCTCCAGTAAGATCTGTCGGAGCGGGGCATAGTTCGGTACCCAAATCTTTCATGATCCCTTTCTTACAGCTAGGTCCTTCTCCCACTGTAACAGCTTCTGTTTCTCTGCTGTAGCGATCTCTGCGTCCACGGAGTATCCATGCTGGAATAGACCCTTGAGCAAAGGGTTCATCCCGTCGAGTTGGATGCCTGCTACATGACCGGGGCGGCTCAACGCGTCAGCTTTGTTGTGTAGCCCGGGCTTGTAGACGATGTCGTGATGAAAGTGGGTCTCTTTCCGTGGTACAGCTTGAACTCCTGGGTGGTGCTGTCTGCTTCGAGGTGAATGCCTTTCGCCATCAACTGACTGACGCTCAGTAAGTTGTAACCGAGACCTTCTGCGATTAAGACCTTGGTCATTTGTAGAATCACACTTGTTTCTCGTGACTGAAGTTGTACCACTCCTTGTCGTCGTGTGCGCAGGTTCTGGTTGTTGGCGACGGTGATGACTACTTCTCGTTGAAGTTGATACTCTCGTTGTACGAAGCGTCCTGAAGAGCACATGTGCTGTCCGCAGCAACTGTCCAAGAACCATGTGTCCTTCCCGGATGGTTCACTCTGGGCGATGGCGGCGTATGTCGGGTTTGGCTGCAGTGACTCGCGGCGGGGTGTGCTGTTGTCGAGCTGTTCTTCCGGTGAGTAGTGTGGTGGTGATTCAGTGACGCAGGAGTCGGTCAGTTTTGCCATACAACTGACGATGTTCCTTGTTCCTTGCGCAGGTTGTCCCGCAGGTGGTGTTGAGGCTTGAATCTGGGTCGTGGGGTTCGCTTTTGTCGAGGCAACTTGGCTGCTTGAGGGTCGAAGCTGTCGCTGTTGTGGCGTTGGCTGTTGTCGATTTGGGCAGTGCGTGCGTGGGTGCCCAGACGTCTTGCAGATGTGGCAGAACGGAGGTACGGGTTTTGGTTGTTGTCGGTTGCTGTTGTTGTTGTATCGTCGCTGAGTGTGAAACGCGAATTCCGGTACTGATGTCTTTCTCTTGTGTCGTTCTTCTTGCAGGTCCATGTCTTGCTGTTCAGCGTTAATGTATTTCGGCGCAGAGTGTCAGAATCACTAGGAGTGGGGCCTAGGCTTAGTAGCCTAGGCCCACACATAGAGTAGGTAGGGTGTGCCCTAGAACTAGGGTTTAGGGTATACGAAGGAGAATTGAAGAAGAAAAATGAGAATGAGGATGGTTGAACTAGCAAGCAGGTTGGTACAAATAGGAAACCCTAAGGGGTTGTACTCACTATTGAGCACCCCACTGCAGGCTAGACAATAACATTCTGACACACCCCCATAGCCAAAGTGGGGTGCAATCAGCACAATGAGCAGGCAGTGCAATAGTTCACAAATATGAGCAAAGCTAGAGGCTATCACAGAGGGCAAGTGAGGAGGAGGAGGAACTGTGAAGGGAGAGAAGATTGGAGACGACGACTGAAGCTGCAGACACACGGGCAACAGGTGCTGCAACCTCCTCCAGCTGTCCCACACCCCCCTACACACACCCCCAGTGTCACCTCTAGCTCCACTCCCACATCACCCCCCTAGCGCCACTCCCTCGTCTCCCACACATCCACCCCCCCGCAGCGGCAGCTGCAGCAGTGGGAGACGGAGGAGAAGGTAGGGGCGACGCACAAGGAGCACCCCCACACCCGCCACCCCCACACCCTCCTGTCCAGGGGACGCAGGGGGGGGGGGGGGGGGAGGGCCGGGGCGGGAGAGCGCACGAGGGCGCAGGCAACCGCGCGTGCAGAGCAACAGCGCGGAGCAGGTAGGGTAGAGCGCACGAGGGCGCGGGCAGCCGCGCGTGCAGAGCAACAGCGCGGAGCAGGTAGGGTAGAGCGCACGAGGGCGCGGGCAACCGCGCGTGCAGAGCAACAGCGCGGAGCAGGTAGGGTAGGGCGCACGAGGGCGCGGGCAACCGCGCGTGCAGAGCAACAGCGCGGAGCAGGTAGGGTAGAGCGCACGAGGGCGCGGGCAACCGCGCGTGCAGAGCAACAGCGCGGAGCAGGTAGGGTAGAGCGCACGAGGGCGCGGGCAACCGCGCGTGCAGAGCAACAGCGCGGAGCAGGTAGGGTAGAGCGCACGAGGGCGCGGGCAACCGCGCGTGCAGAGCAACAGCGCGGAGCAGGTAGGGTAGGGCGCACGAGTGAGACTGAGCGCGACTGCACAGGGTCCAGGAGCGGCGTCGCGGGCAGCTGCATGGTCGGCTGCTGCTGGTGCGGTTGCTCCAGGGGCGGCGGCGCAGGTCCAGGGGCGGCTGCACCAGGGGCGGCTGCTCCACGGGCGGCGTCGCGGGTACAGGGGCGGCTGCACCAGGGGCGGCTGCTCCAGGGGCGGCGGCGCAGGTCCAGGGGCAGCTGCAGCAGTGGCGGCTGCTCCAGGGGCCAGGGGCGGCTGCACCAGGGGCGGCGGCTCCAGTGGCGGCTGCTCCAGAGGCGGCTGCTGCAGAGGCGGGCGACTCCAGGGGAGGCTGCTGCAGCGGTGGGCGGCTCCAGGGGCGGCTGCTGCAGGGGCGACGTCGCAGGGGCCAGGGGCGGCTGCACCAGGGGCGGCTGCTCCAGGGGCGGGTCGCTGGCGCAGGGGCGGCACACGTGCTGCTGCAGGGGCGGCTGGCGCACTGCTGCAGGGGCGGCGACGCGGGCTGCTCCAGGGGCGTCTGCTCCAGGGGCGGGTCACTGGCGCAGGGGCGGTACACACGCCGCTGCAGGGGCGGCGTCGCGAGCGCAGGGGCTGCTCGCGCGCTGGCGCAGGGGCTGCTCGCGCGCTGCTGCAGGGGCGGCGCAGGTCCAGGGGCGGCTGCACCAGGGGCGGCTGCTCCACGGGCGGCGTCGCGGGTACAGGGGCGGCTGCACCAGGGGCGGCTGCTCCAGGGGCGGCGGCGCAGGTCCAGGGGCAGCTGCAGCAGTGGCGGCTGCTCCAGGGGCCAGGGGCGGCTGCACCAGGGGCGGCGGCTCCAGTGGCGGCTGCTCCAGAGGCGGCTGCTGCAGAGGCGGGCGACTCCAGGGGCGGCTGCTGCAGTGGTGGGCGGCTCCAGGGGCGGCTGCTGCAGGGGCGGCGTCGCAGGGGCCAGGGGCGGCTGCACCAGGGGCGGCTGCTCCAGGGGCGGGTCGCTGGCGCAGGGGCGGCACACGCGCTGCTGCAGGGGCGGCTGGCGCACTGCTGCAGGGGCGGCGACGCGGGCTGCTCCAGGGGCGGCTGCTGCAGGGGCGGGTCACTGGCGCAGGGGCGGTACACATGCCGCTGCAGGGGCGGCGTCGCGAGCGCAGGGGCTGCTCGCGCGCTGGCGCAGGGGCTGCTCGCGCGCTGCTGCAGGGGCGGCGTCGCGAGCTGCTGTGGGGGCGGCGTCGCGAGCTGCAGGAGGGGCGGCGGCGCGAGCGACGGGCGACTGTGGGAGCAGCGGGCGGGCCCCCTGAAGGCGCCGCGACGAGCGACGGGGGGGAGCAGCGGGCGGGCCCCCTGAAGGCGCCGCGACGAGCGACGGGGGGGAGCAGCGGGCGGGCCTCCTGAAGGCGCCGCGACGAGTGACGGGGAGGAGCAGTGGGCGGGCCCCCTGAAGGCGCCGCGACGAGCGGTGAAGCCGCCGCGAGCCCCGAGCGCGCGGCGGGCAGAAAAAGCCGCCACGCGCTTGGAGCGCGCAGCGGGAAGAAAAATACAGCGCCGCGCACCACGGAGCGCGCGGCGGAAAGTACGGCAGCGGAAGTAGTTGGTGGGCCCGTTGAGCTAGGCGGCAGGATCATGCTCGCTCTAGATACCATGTCAGAATCACTAGGAGTGGGGCCTAGGCTTAGTAGCCTAGGCCCACACATAGAGTAGGTAGGGTGTGCCCTAGAACTAGGGTTTAGGGTATACAAAGGATGAGGATGGGGATGGTTGAACTAGCAAGCAGGTTGGTACAAATAGGAAACCCTAAGGGGTTGTACTCACTATTGAGCACCCCACTGCAGGCTAGACAATAACATTCTGACACAGAGCGCTGCTTCGGAGATTCTTCCGTGGGCTCGGAGAATGGCTTTTGTTGCGCGCCATTGAGGACCGAGGCCGCCGATGATGACTGTCACGAAGGCGTCTTCAGAGATTGACCCTCCGCATCGAAGAAGCTTGTCGCGCAGTTCGCGACATCGGCTGACATATGCCATCCCTTTTTCGCCTGGTTTCATTTCAACCGTTGTCAGTTGCGCCATTAGCCGACTTTGACTGACGCTGTCTGTTGCTTGATACAGGTCCTTCAGGTGCTTGTACGCGAGTTCCGCGGAGTTGCCGAATCCCCGGTAAGACCGTATGTTCTGCTGCTGAGTTGGGGTGATATTTCTCAGTAGGATCGTATACGCCATCATCGACTGATATGTATACTGCTGCTTCTCATACTGTGTGCCGTTTGTTAAATTGTAATGTGTTATATGTTGGTAGGCTGTAGTGGGGTAGCCAATATGGGGTACAACCCCAACTAGGGTTTGCTACTTGTACCCAACTGTTTCATTCAATGCACCATTCTTGCCTAGTTCTTCTCACATGGTATTCAGAGCAGGAGGTCCCTAGGACCTATCGAGATAGTGGGTATACTGAGGAGCCATAGCTAGGGTTGACCTAGCTAGGCAAGAGAGAATGAAGGCAAAAGAGGGGTTTCACTAGCAGCAGTTGGGGTACATATAGCAAACCCTAACTGGGTTGTACTCGCTATAGAGCACCCCACTACAGGCTAGACAATAATAACATTCTGACACACCCCCATAGCCAAAGTGGGGTGTAATCAATACAATGAGCAGGCATAGCAATAGTTCACAATTATAAGCAAAGCTAGAGGTGATCATAGAGGGCAAGTGAGGAGGAGGAGAAACTGTGAGGGCGAGAAGATGAAAGGCGCCGACTGAAGCTGCAGACACACGGGCAACAGGAGCGGCGCGCACAGTGGCTACCGAGCGCACGAGGGCACCGGACTACGGGAGTATCTGGCTCCGCGGCTACGACGAGCACACACAGGAGCAACGGACCCACAGGCGACTGGCGAAGCAGGCTCGCTGGGCTACCGAAACGCGCGAGGGCATCCGGACTACTGGCGCTGCTGGCGTCACGACGGCTACCTCCACGCAACCTCCCCCGACCGTCCCACGCCCCTCTCACACACCCCCTGCTGACACCCTAGCTCCACTTCCACGGCACCCCCCTTAAACCCTAAACCCTCGGCTCCCACACACCACCCCCCTCAGCGGCAGCTGTAGCAGAGGGAGACGAGGGAGGAGGAGGAGCAGGGGGAGGAACTCACAACCGACACCCCCATAGCCGCCACCCCCACACTCTTCACCCCCAAACCCTAATTCAGGAGAACGGGCTGTAGGAGGGGTGGGGCGCCGGTAGAAGCACGGGGGACAGTGGAGAGGGCAGGAGCAGCGAGGAACGGGCCGCCCACGGGCCTGGTATAGCCGCCCGAACCGCGCGCAGGCGGCCCGAGCCGCGCGCGGGCCTGGCGCTTCCCGTACGGGCCGCGCGCGGGCCTGGCGCAGCCCGTACGGGCCGCGCGCAGGCCTGGCGCAGCCCGTACGGGCCGCACGCCGGCTGTACGGGCCGCGCGCAGGCCACGACGGGCGACGGGGGGCGACGCGCGGGTCCCCGTCGCCCGTCGCAACGCCTCCCGGGGGCGACGCGTCGAGTGACGGGGCAGAAGCCCGCCGCGCGCCTCGGGGCGCACAGCGGGCAGAGAACCGCCGCGCGCCACGGGGCGCACGGCGGGCAGAAAACCGCCGCGCGCCCCGGGGCGCACGGCGGGAAGAATAAACTGCCGCACGCCACGGGGCGTGCGGCACATAGAGTAGCAGCGGAAGTTGCAGCGGAAGCAACGAGGTGGTGAGCCCACAGGCCAAGGACGTAACGGCTCTGATGCCATATCGAGATAGTGGGTATACTGAGGAGCCATAGCTAGGGTTGACCTAGCTAGGCAAGAGAGAATGAAGGCAAAAGAGGGTTTCACTAGCGGCAGTTGGGGTACATATAGCAAACCCTAACTGGGTTGTACTCGCTATAGAGCACCCCACTACAGGCTAGACAATAATAACATTCTGACACCTAGGACCTACCGACCGTTTTTTTTTTAAGGGCCCACCACCGCTCGCATGCGGTTACCACGCTACCCCGTGCCCTAGCCTCGTAGCGCCCTCGTGCGCCCTCGTTAGCGCCCTCGTGCGTCCTCGTTAGCGCCCTCGCGCGCCCTCGTTAGCGCCCTCGCGCGCCCCTCGTTAGCGCCCTCACGCGCCCCTCGTTAGCGCCCTCGCGCGCCCCTCGTTAGCGCCCTCGCGCGCCCTCGCTAGCGCCCTCGCGCGCCCCTCGCAGCGTCGCCCGCCCGCCGAGCCGCCCGCTCGCAGCGTCGCCCGCCTACCGCGCTGCCCGTTTCGCAGCCCGCCCGCCGCGCTGCCTGCTCGCAGCGTCGCCCGCCCGCCCGCTGCCCGCTTCGCAGCGTCGCCCGCCCGCCGCGCTGCCCGCTCGCAGCGTCGCCCGCCCGCCTCGCTGCCCGCTTGCAGCGTCGCCCGCCCGCCCGCTGCCCGTTTCGTCGCCCGCCCGCCTCGCTGCCCGCTTGCAGCGTCGCCCGCCCGCCCGCTGCCCGCTTCGCAGCCCGCCCGCCGCGCTGCCCGCTCGCCGCGTCGCCCGCCCGCCCCGCTGCCCGCTTGCAGCGTCGCCCGCCCGCCCGCTGCCCGCTTCGCAGCCCGCCCGCCGCGCTGCCCGCTCGCCGCGTCGCCCGCTCGCCCCGCTGCCCGCTTCGCAGCCCGCCCGCCGCACTTCCCGCCTGCAGCGCCGCCTGCCCACCGCGCTGCCCGCTTCGTAGCCCGCCCCCCGCACTGCCACCTGCTCACCGCGTCGCCCGCCCGCCGCGCTTCCCGCCGAGCTACCTACCTGCAGCGCTGTGGCAGCTTCCTTTGCTCAGTCGCACTGTCGCTATGGCTTCCATCCGCGTGCTGTCGTTCGATGCTGAGGGCCGCCCTGTGAAGTTCGCCACTTGGCTGGATGACCTGCAGCTGTTCCTTCTGAGCGATAGCAAGGAGCATGTGTCGCTCTATGATTACGCGTCTGGTGCTGCACCTGCCCCCCCTGCCACAGCTGAGCTTAGTGTTCGTTCCCACTGGCAGACTCGTGACGCAGCTGCTCGCCTAGCCATTCGCAGTCACCTGCCGCTAGCTGAGCTCGAGCATTTTGGCGACTGCAAATCCGCTAAGGCCCTGTACGATGCTGTCGTTGCTCGCTACTCCTCGCCTGCCACAGCCGAGCTTAGCCGCCTCATGCTGCCGTACCTGTTCCCCGATCTGTCCACCTTTGCTACAGTCGCCGATCTTATCACCCACCTTCGCACTAGTGATGCTCGCCTGCGTGCCGCCCTTCCCACCGAGTTCTGCACTAAGAACCCCCCTCCACTGTACTGGACACTCCACTTCATAGTCACCCGTCTCCCTGACACCCTCAGCTCAGTTCGAGACCACTTCCTTGCTCGCTGTCCCACTGAGCTCACAGTCCCCCTCCTAGAGGAGCAGCTGCTCGCGGCCGAAAAGAGCATTGTAGCTGTCGGTGCTGCTCGTGGCGCTCCTCGCACCCCCATCTTTGAGGGGTGTTCTCCCTCTCCCCTCGCTCCCTCCTATGCTACTGCTGCTACTGTTGACTTCCTTGGTGCTGAGTCTGTTGGCGCTGCTTCTGCTCCTGGTGGGAGGCGCCGCACCGGCAAGGGCAAGGGGGGCAAGGGTGGTGGTGGTGGCGCTGGGGGGGGAGGAGGTGGGGGAGGTGGGGGGGGAGGCGGTGCTGGAGGGAGCGGTGGCGGGAGCGCTGGTGGGAGTGGGGTCGGCGGTGGAGGCGGGGGCGGCGGAGGAAGCAGTGGCAGTAGTGGCGGCGGCGGTGGTGGCGGCGGTGGCGGTGGTGGCGGTGGTGGCGGTGGCGGTCGGAGCGGTGGTAGTGGTGGCGGCGGAGGTCGGAGTGGAGGCACTGGCTCGGGCCAGAGCTCCCAGCAGCAGCAGCGTCCTCAGACGACCCAGCAGCTTCGTGAGTGGCTTGCTCAGCGTGGGACGTCGGGGGGCAGTGGCCGCTGTTCCTATGTCATTCGCACAGGTGACCGCAAGGGACAGACGTGTGGGAGGTTCCACACCCCGTACCGCTGCTTCTCCCGCCTTGACGACGCTTGGCGTGAGGAGATGGGTGAGGATGTTGAGCGCCCCCGCTGGGCTGAGCTCATGAGGGCTGGTGTTGATGTCTTTGCTCTTGACTATGATGCTATTATTGCTGCCATGTATGCATTGACTGTTAGTGCCGAGGGAGACTGTTACTTGTGTGTGCCGCCTGATCCAGGTATAGAGCCCGCTGCCCTGGGTACTAGTGAGTCTGCTCTCTCTGGTATGGTGCCCCCTGTACTTGCTCCCTCCAGTACTGTCCCGGCTGTTTGCGAGTCTGCTCTCTCAGGTACAGCACCCACAGAGACTGCTCTCTCAGGTACCGCACCGGCTGAGGCCTGTCACACCTTCACCCTTGACTCAGGTGCTTCCCGTTGTTTCTTTCGTGACAGTACTGAGCTCACACCGCTTCCTGCACCGGTCCCAGTCTCCTTGGCTGACCCCTCTGGGGGCCCAGTCCTTGCCCAGTCCACCACTGTACTCCCTTGTCCGGCGGTTCCGTCTGGCTCGTTGTCGGGTTTCCACCTCCCCTCATTCTCGACGAACCTGGTGAGCAACGCTGTCATCCAGGATCAGTGGGTTGACACCTTTACCCCTGGAGGACAGCGTGTGGCGATCTGCACGTGCTCCAGGACCGGCCGTCACCTGGCTACGTTTACCCGTCGGCCGGGGTCGAGTCTCTACACACTGACCACTGCGTCTCCTCAGGTCGCTGCTGTCGGTCAGGTGTCTGCGTCAGGTCTGGTGGCCCACGCCTGTGAGTGTCGTTCCCTGTCGCACCAGACTCTTCTCTGGCACCACCGCCTGGGTCACCCCTCCTTGCCACGCCTTCGTGGCATGCACCGTCGCCACCTTGTGTCTGGTCTTCCCAGGTCCCTCCCTCCCCTCCCTGCCTCGCCTGCGCCGCCTTGCCTTCCTTGCGTCGAGGGGCGGCAGCGCGCCGCTCCTCACTCCTCCTCGTTCCCCCCGACAGAGGCTCCTCTGCAGACCCTCCACCTGGACGTGTGGGGCCCAGCCCGCGTTCGTGGTCAGGGCGGTGAGCGGTACTTTTTGCTGGTTGTCGACGACTACTCGCGTTACACCACGGTCTTCCCCTTGCGCACCAAGGGTGAGGTCCCTGCTGTTCTGATCCCTTGGATCCGCACAGTTCGTCTCCAGCTCCGCCGCCGTTTCCGGACGGATCTTCCTGTCCTGCGTCTGCACTCTGACAGAGGTGGTGAGTTTACCTCCGACCTCTTGAGGACCTTCTGTCAGGCGGAGGGCATCGAGCAGACCTTCACGCTTCCGGACTCCCCACAGCAGAATGGGGTTGCTGAGCGCCGCATTGGCCTGGTCATGGAGGTCGCTCGTACCTCCTTGGTCCACGCGGCGGCTCCCCATTTTCTGTGGCCGTTTGCTGTCCGGTACGCCGCGCATCAGCTCAACCTCTGGCCCCGTGTCTCCTTGCCGGAGACCTCGCCCACACTGCGTTGGACGGGGGAGGTTGGCGATGCGTCGCGCTTCCGGGTGTGGGGTGCTCGTGCCCTTGTCCGCGATACGTCCGCGGACAAGCTCTCCTCCCGCACGCTTCCCTGTGTCTTCCTTGGCTTTGTCCCTGACGCGCCTGGCTGGCAGTTTTACCACCCCACCTCGCGCCGGGTCTTCGCCTCTCAGGATGTCACCTTTGACGAGTCGGTCCCTTTTTACCGTCTCTTCCCCTACCGCACTGCCCCCCTCCCTCCCCCGCCGCTGTTCCTTGCTCCTGGTCCCCCTCCGGTAGACCCCCTCCCCCCTCAGGGTCCTGCTCCTTCAGGTGTCTCTCAGGTAGACCCTCCTCCCGTCGCTGAGCCTGTCGAGGTCACAGGTGACTCAGGTGCTGCTGCAGGTGGTGCTGCTGGGAGTGCTGAGTCTGGGGGTGCTGAGCCTGCGGGTGCTGGGCCTGGGAGTGCTGGGACTGCGGGTGCTGGGGCTGAGGGTACTGTGCCTGAGAGTTTGCCGCCTGGGGGTGCTGTGCCTGGGGGTGCTGCGACTGGGAGTGCTGAGCCTGCGTGTGCGGAGTCTGGGGGTGCTGCGCCTGCGGGTACTGAGCCTGGGGGTGCTGCTACTGAGCCTACGGAGCCTCGGGTTGCTGCGTCTGGGGGTGCTCCGGTTCGGGGTGCTGAGCAGTCTCTCACACCGCAGCAGCTTCGTGACTGGTACGTCCGGCGCTTTCGCCGTCCTCGTGGCTCGGCTGGAGTTGGGGGTGCTGGAGCTGCTCGTCCTGGGGGTGCTCGTACTGGGGGTACTGGAGCTGCCGGGACTGGTTGTTCTGGGAGCACTACGACTGGAGCTGCTGGAGCTGGGGACTCTGGCGCTGGCGGTGCTAGCGGAGTTGGAGCTGCCGACTCTGGGGGTGCTCTTCCTAGCGGTGCTGCGGACCCTGGGGGTGGCGCTGCTGCTGGTGCTGCGGACCCACCTGGTGGAGCTGCTACTGGAGCTGAGGACCCGAGCGGTGGCGCTGCTGCTGGTGCTGGGGACCCGGACGTTGGAGCTCCTGCTGGTACTGAGGACCCGGCCGCTGGAGTCTCTTCTGCTTCTGGAGACGCTGCGCGGCCGCGACCGTACTTCGTACCGCTCCTTCAGCAGGTTCTTGGGCAGGCTCCTCCTCCTTGTCCTCCTCCCTCCGTAGAGTGTCCTCCGCCTGTCCAGCCGCAGTCACAGTTACCGCCTACCTCGCCTCTCCCTGCTCCCTCTCCTTACACTGGTCCCACAGGAGGTCTTACAGAGCGTCGTGAGCCTTCTTCCAGACCTTCTCCCCCACCCCGAAGATGACCACTCTTCGGGTTCTGCTGCACGTTGCTGCTCAGCGTGACTACGAGCTTCACTCTCTTGACTTCAGCACAGCGTTCCTGCAGGGCAGCCTGCACGAGGAGATCTGGCTGCGCCGCCCACCTGGCTTTACTGGGTCGTTTCCTCCTGGTACCCAGTGGAGCCTCCGCCGGCCAGTCTACGGTCTCCGCCAGGCGCCACGTGAGTGGCACGACACACTGAGGACTACACTTGCGGCTCTTGGGTTCGCGCCGTCTACTGCTGACCCGTCGCTGTTTCTGCGCACAGACACGTCGCTGCCGCCGTTCTACATTCTCGTGTACGTCGACGACTTGGTCTTTGCTACTGCTGACACTGAGGCACTCGCTCGTGTGAAGTCGGAGCTGCAGAAGAGACACACCTGCACTGACCTGGGTGAACTGCGTAGCTACCTTGGCTTGCAGATCACCCGGGACAGAGCTCGCCGCACCATCACCCTGACTCAGTCACACATGGTGCAGCAGGTCCTTCAGCGCTTCGGCTTCCAGTTCTCCTCACCACAGGCCACACCTCTGGCTACCAGTCACTCGCTCTCAGCTCCACCTTCGGACGAGTCCGTAGAGCCGAGTGGCCCGTACCCAGAGCTTGTAGGCTGCCTCATGTACCTGATGACTTGCACGCGACCTGACCTCGCGTACCCTCTTAGCATCCTTGCTCGTTACGTTGCGCCTGGGAGACACAGGCGAGAGCACTGGGAGGCTGCTAAGAGGGTGCTGCGTTACTTGTGCAGTACATCAGGCATGGGGCTGGTGCTTGGAGGACGCGACAGAGTTGTCCTCACTGGTCACTCGGACGCTTCTTGGGTGGACGACCTGGCTACGCAGCGGTCGTCACAGGGTTACACCTTCAGCCTTGGCTCTGGTTCTGTCTCGTGGCGGTCCACCCGCTCTTCCTCTGTTCTCGGCTCTAGTTGTGAGGCTGAGATCTGCGCCACAGCCATGGCTGCACAGGAGTTACGCTGGCTCACCTACCTGCTGACTGACTTGGGAGAGCGGCCTAGTTCTCCTCCAGTTCTGTACGGTGACAACAAGGCGGCTCTTGCCTTGTGTCAGGAGCACAGACTGGAGCACAGGACGAAGCACATTGCTCTTCGCTACTTTCTTGCTCGAGAGCTTCAGCAGCGCGGTCAGCTTCGGCTTGTGTACGTGGACTCGAAGGCCAACACTGCTGATATCTTCACCAAGGCGCTCCCGCCTAGTGATCATCAGCGGCACTGTACTTCTTTAGGCCTTGTGTCCACGTTTCCTCACTTGCTCACTGCTTGACATTCTTTGTACTGTACTTTATATATATCTTGTTGCTTGCTTGCTAGGTTTTGATCACTGTGTTGCTTGTCTTGCACTATATCTAGCACTGCATGTGAACTGGCCTTGTGGCCTTTGCTTGTGCTCGGAGTGTGGTGACTTTGTGATCCACCCTGGGCTTGCATTGCTTTGCTGGACTGGTCTTGTGACCCTTTGTTCTCCCCCACTTTGCCTATGGGGGTGTATTAAATTGTAATGTGTTATATGTTGGTAGGCTGTAGTGGGGTAGCCAATATGGGGTACAACCCCAACTAGGGTTTGCTACTTGTACCCAACTGTTTCATTCAATGCACCATTCTTGCCTAGTTCTTCTCACAGTTTGTTGGGTATGGTACAGACCCGTCGAAGAAGCCAAGTATCTGCGCGCCTTCCATCATCAGCTCGAATTCGAAAGACCAGGTAAAGAAGTCTTTTCCGTCAAAGGGCCTTGACGTCTGTAGCTTTAAGACGTGCACGAATTGCGACTGTACTTGTAGTGCATCCAGTTGTCTTTCTTGTCCAGATGGAGCTTGCGGCATGAAGCTGATGGACCCGCGTTCATACGGAGCAAAGGTAGGTTGTTGCTGATTTCCGCGCGCATATGATGAGCCATCAAGACTCATTGGAGTCACGTTGTTGTTGTTGCTGTTGTTTGACTGCGCAGGTGCCGACTGCTGGTGTTGCTCGTAAAACGACATGAAGGAGAAGAACTTCTCCATCATGCTCTGGTCGAAGTTGGCAGGCTGGCTGGCCGAAGGCGCTGCTGGTCCCGTTGTGGTTCCTTCCTCTGTCTGCAGGCCAGAGGCAGGAGGTGGGGTAGGAGTAGTCCCGGGAGAACCATTAGAGGAACTCCTCTCCTTGTATGTTGCCATGTCGTCTGTTGATGATTTGACAGTAGTTGAATTTCCCCTGATAGCTCTCATACCATGTTGGGCTGAGAAAAAGCCCTTAGGATCTTTTGCAGGGGTAAATTCGGGGTAGGACAATTGTAATAGCGGAAGCGTTTAATGAAGAACTTGTGAACCACCTTGCGCTGGTATGTGAGGGCAAAGTAAGTTGATTAAAGCAAAGGGATACAAGCATTATATATGAGTACAAGGAATATGAAAAGGATACAGTTGTAACTACTTTACTGTTGCTGTTGCGGTTCGATACAGTGACGACTCGGGCAACTGCTCTGTAGCGAGTCAGTTGTGTGTCCTTGCTGTCGCGCTGTACTTGTCAGGTCAAAGGTCGCTGACCTTTGACTTTTGCGTAACCTCCAGCAACCTCTTTCAACCTCCGAGGGTTGACTCGCGTGTGCCTCAATATAGTTCGCTTCGCTTCTGGTGCGATGTTTCGACACGACAGAGGCGCTTTAGGATTTACTGTTTCCAACAAAGGGGAGAGGTCGTCCTAGATTTCGCCGAAATTCAAAACTGCTGACGAAGCAATTTCGCATACATCCGAACTTTTTTCGTCCCATCTGCCCAAAACGATTGAAGGATGTTTTAGGGCCCAACCCAGGCACAAACCGTAGACGTTTTAGGGTTCCCTGCAACCACCTCTCAACCGTAGACGTTTTTGGATTTGATTTCCTGTGGTGGGGTTTGATCTTCAAACGTCCTAGTAACGGGCGTTGTGATCTGCCCGTTATAGCCTGTGCGTCTCCCCTGGGGGGATGGGCGGATAGGGTTCGCACGGGCTGTTGGTTCAATTTGCCCGAGGAAGAGGCTTCCATGCAGCCTCGGAGGGGATGGACTGTTCTCCGTTCAGTTACACGTGGGCGCACACTGGCTGCTCCCAGGTTCGGACGACAATAACGAAATGGGAGGTTCGAGATGGGCTTTAAAGCCTCACATCGCGTTCCAAGAAGGTTCATCACTGGGCCTGAGCGTCGCCAATGCGCCTACAGAACGATGCCTGCGGTCCGCTAGGTTTGGCCGCGAAAACGGTTTCCCTCCTGGGAACTTGCTCTCGCATACTGCATCAGTGCGTGTATCGATCTCAACTATCTTAGTCAGTGCACGCTCCGATCCCCCCCTCACGTCGCCGGTCTCGTCTTACATCCCGCGGCACTTACGTTAGTGAACGTGCGTCGCGTTACTCCTGCCTTGCATTCAAGCTCGCGTCGCACACGCAGGCTCTTGTCACACTTGTTGTGGTTCAGCCTCGTGTCACGATCGTACCGTTTTAGGCACGGGTCGCTCACGCGAATGCAGTACAGGTTCGCGTGACGCACACTGCCGTAGTCGCATATGTTCCCCCTCATGGGCCGCTCTTTCCCACACCATACCGCTTTCCTCATCGCCCGCGCTTTCCCTCATCACCCTCGCCAATCCTCGCCGCCCTCGCCTCTGCTTGTCGCCCGCGCGTCCCGTCCTCGCCCTCGCTTCCTGTCACCCGCACTTCTCCTCATAACTTCCTCGTCACGCGCTCGTCCCCTCGTCACGCGCTCGTCGCCCTCCCTTCCGCGTGTCGCCCTCCCATCCACCCGTCGCTCTCCCTTCCGCCCGCCCTCCCTTCGCCTGGTCACCCTCCCTCCGGCTCTTCCCCTCGCAATGCCCGTCTCCCTCTCTCCCTGTCGCCCTCGCTTTCCCCATCCTCGTTTTCCTCGTCGCTCTCGCCATCCCTCTCATCCCCCTTCCCATCGCGCACACTAGACACCCTCCCTTTTCTACCCCTACACACACCCTTCCCTCCCCCCAATGATCGCCTT